AGCTAATATCCAGGGACTGTGCTGGGTGCTGTGTGGACAGACTGTGTGATAAATGCCCTGCCTTAGAGAGCCTACCCCCTAGATAAGCAAGACGGAAAATGTGGGGGAAGGGAAACAGATGTTCTAGATATTTCACCCCAGCACAGCTGGTACTTTGCTGTACTGCATGGGTCTAAGGGGTCTAGAAAGAAGGATGCAAAGGGCTGATGGAAGCCCATTCAGTTTGATAACTGGGGTCTGCTAAAAGTGCGAGGGACTATGGGGTACCTTTTGCTGAAGGTTAATTGGAGGAGTTTCTAGATATCTTCTATTTTCCTGGACAGAATAATGGGGTCCATTTTAAAGGCAATGGGACAAACTCTGGGCAAAGGCCTTTACAACCCCATTACCTTCCAGGGGACAACAATGATCTAGTTGCGGATGAGATCTGCACTGGGGGCTGGAAATGCTCTGATGTCTTTAGCAAGCAAGGTAGGTATAGATGAAAGCTGCCTGGGGGCCTCTGTCTAAAGGCAGTCATCTCACTGTCTGCTGCATTTTGTTTCCGGGTCATTTGTAGAGCTTTACACCTTTGAGCAGTACTGGACTTGCCTCGGCAAGATATTTGCCCCAGTGTGATGAGAAGAAAACAGGAGGATGCCTTTCCAAGCATGTTTTACCATGCGTGGCTATGGCAGAGGGCCAGTTCTAGCAACCCAGCAAATTCTGCCCTCATCTCGATGAGTACTACCCCACAGAAATCTTTGAAACCAGAATAATTTCCATAAATAAGATGACCCCACACCATGTTCTTCCCAGGGAGACTTTATATATTTGTTCTCTCTTTCACTGCTTTTTTCCCCGCAGGGAAAGCCAGCTTGTTACCAGGACATAGGACAGGGTGGAGACACCCCAGGTTCTGATTTTGCTCCAACAGAGTTGCAGATTAGTACCGCCTCAATCCCACTAAGGAAAATACCATCTTTTCTCATGTTTAAGACACCCGAGCATATCAGACGCGCCTTGCTTTTGAAAGGCAAAATGAAGAAAAGAAATCTTTCCTTGCCATAAGTAACTGAGTAGCAGCAGCGAGGGAGCTGAGCCTGTTCACTGTCGATTTTGGGTTTCAGCCAGCTAGCGGCAGAACCTGCTCTTACCGTATTTCCCAGATATAATGCATGCTCCAATTTCCAGCCGCTGGTTTTTGGGGAAAAGGTGTGTGTTGTATGTGGGAAAGTAGGGTACTTGAGGCTGCGCTGTTCAAAGCCACCTAATTGATCTGGACACCCAATCCCTCTTTTGAATTTTCCCTTAAATATCTAGAACATAGAGAGAGGCAATAGAGAGAGAGCTTGTGCCAGGTAGGGTTGCATCTACTGATCCCATCCTCAGCCATTGCAAGGTTTCGCAGCTAAGCACAGCAGGAAAATGCATTTCCCTCACTTGGTTGGTGAACAAGATGTTCCTAACCATGAGCAAAGAGCCACTGTAGGAGCTGTTATTCTGCGGTATGTGATCCTCGCGGCTTCTGACATTCAAGTTATTTAGGAGAGAGCCAAGAAGGGGCAAAGATAGCAAGCAGCACTGGCCATATTTGAGAGGCCAGCTTCCTCTCACGCAGCATCAGAACGTCGAGACACCCCAGGGCCAAGCAGACGTACAAGCCAAAGACTTAGAAAAGCAAGCTTATTTTTTAAATTATTTAAGTCCTCCCCTAAGAAGTACAAAGCCAGAGTTCAGTGTGGCACACAGGGGCCTGGTGGAGCTTATTAAAGTAATAGGCACATTAAAATTCACAGGTGAGGGGAAAAAAACGGTCTGTAACTAGAGAAATATCTCTGATACCTTCTGGCATCCTAGAGAGATGCAAATATGGGACCTCATCCAGCTGTCTCATTCAGGGGCCAAAGTCCCATTGCCTGCTCTGGGAGTTTCACCCGAGTAAGACGTGCAGGATTAGGCCTGTGCTTGTCACTGCAATTAACATTTAGATCCACATTTAACGCGAATTCTTACAGGCTGGTTAGGGAGAAATTTAATTTGCTCTTAACAGCTTGGCAGGAGGGGAGTGTGAAGTACACGAGTTACGGTGGTTCCATATTTTATAGCCTATGAAGGTGTATTTTCGGTAGGGAGTCTAATGATCCGTGTACATTGTGTGTTTTGCACATCCTCTCTGCTTTGGGACGAAGTTTGGGACCGGATCCTCAGCTGGTATGTGATGGTGATCCATCTTATTGATACCAGCCAATGGTTTGGCCCATTATTCCCTCTTTGTCCCTCCATCCATCTACACGAACACATGCAAATTCATACTGGTTCAGATCTCTCTTTCTCTTGCATTGCCGTGACCCCTTTGACTGGAATGGTGCTTTCAGCGAAAGGGAAATTTGAATCTATCTGCAGTCACACACATTTCCCTTCATCGCTCCAAAGAAGGCCAGGGGTTCATTGGCCATATAAATTAGTTTAACCCTTGTTATATATTAGTGCATGGAGACACAATTGATTATAACTTACTTCAGATTTATTTAAATTGATCTCCGCTTTTGCATGGCTGGGTGTTGAACATATGCACGTACTAAATCTCTGACTTTCCAACAGCAGCAAGCAGACAGAAACATTGAACTTGAGTTTCTCTAACACCCTACCACCCATTTATAATTTTTTTCCCAGGAGTTAAAATAACTCAGCCATAAAAAACTGACTTGGAGATGAAACTTGGCATGCAAAGTCCCAGCCCGGGAGCAAATGAAGTTGCTGGTTATAAACACACACGTACCAAAATCTGTTTGGGCATGCTTAAATTACAGGAGCAGAGGATAAAAAGGATTGAGGTACTTGACTTTGCTTTAACTTCTGAATGAGTGTCACTTTGCAGCTGTTTGCTTCTGACATGGAAAGGGGCCTGTTGGTATTTTTAATTCCTG